ATATATATATATATATATGTTAGGCCTGATTGAAGTAGTAACTACGTTAACCTAGCCACACCAACATACTTGTTGCGCAAGGTCCTGCAAATTCGAGATTCAGACTTATAGCAAGACCCACAAACAAGTAAGTCGCGGTAGCTGAGATGGCATTATAGGGTCCTGAATAATTACCAATACTACTTTGGGAGCTCCCTATCATACTTATAGTACAATATTCACCATAACCCTATTCAAATTATTAAGGCCCCTATAGGAGTTGGGTCCCCGGTTTAACTCGAGCCAGGGATATCAGAGATGTTCAGTCATATAAGGGTCGTATTAGTTGGAATAAGGCTTGGGATGAATATATCCGCTTTTGTTAGCGTACTGGTATATACGGTGGTTCTCACCATCAAGGGGACATTATTACTACGTAGTCCGACCACCATTGGCCATATTCTGCCCTAAACCCTAAACCCTAAACCCTAAACCCTAAAAATATTCTGGGAATGTAGGACCTGACTATGAACCCCTGGCCCTATAACCCCAGTATATTCGGATTCATATAAAGAAAGGCGCAGGGTTAGGGTTTAGGGTTTAGGGTTTAGGGTTTAGGGTTTAGGGTTTAGGGTTTAGGGAGTTTAGAGTAGACCTCACAGCCACTCCCAAACCCAGAAAAGCCCAATACCCTTTGACTAAACCTCATTTTACTCTGCTACCATCATGTTCGTAGTTCTCTAAACCGGGGCCCCTGTTTGGGTCCCAATTATGGTACGGCACCCGTATAAAATGGACCCTAACATTTACCCTAAACCCTAAACCTAATGTCCTAAGGAAGAATGCCTACTGAAGGGCCATTGGGCACCCTGACAAGTGACGGCGGCATTTTTGAGATCTGAGGGTCCATGTACCCTAAATAGTAGATACTTTGGCCCCCGAAGTACCTACATAGGACTACTTCAAGGCCAAAAAAAAATAAATATATATATATATATATACTACTACTTGGGTACATGAACCTTAGGGCTATATCGGTACGAAACCCTAAACCCTAAACCCTACATCCCCAACCCTAAACTCGTTTTAAGGTCTTCTGGGAACCTCTTGGGTTTCTTATGCCAGAAGCGTGCTCTGGACAGCCACGGGCGCGTTTGCCACAGCCTGCATGCATCCACTGCACCCGCAGGTTTAGGGTTTAGGGGTTCTTAGGGTTTGGGGTCTAGGGGTTGTTGGGGTTCTTGGGGTTTAGGGTTTAGAGGTTCTTAGGGTTTAGGGTTTAGGTTTAGGGGTTCTTAGGCTTCAGGGTTTAGGGGTTCTTAGGGTTCAGGGTTTAGGGGTTCTTAGGGTTCAGGGTTTAGGGGTTCTTAGGGTTTAGGGTTTAGGGTTTAGGGGTTCTTAGGTTTAGGGTTTAGGGGGTCTTAGGGCTTGGGGTTTAGGGGTTTTAGGGTTTAGGGTTTGGGGGTTCTTAGGGGTTCTCAGGGTGCAGGTGCAGCATGAAATTTGCCCCAACTCCTACAAAACGTCTTGCTAGCAGACAAGCCAGGATTTGAACATGAGGCTTTTTAGTGGGTTTGTGAAACACCCAAAACCCTAAACCCTAAACCCTAAACCCTAAACCCTAAACCTGGTTTTACGGCGGTGTCATGGGGATTGGGGATGCGGCTTCTGTAATCGCTGGGATCCATTAAAGCATAGCTGTGCATACTACTGTTGAGTTTAGGGTTTAGGGTTTAGGGTTTAGGGTTTAGGGTTTAGGGTTTAGGGTTTAGGGTCTTGATGGACAAAATTCTGCATGACCCAAATATAGTATAGTACCATAAATCCCATAGTTTAGGTATAATATAAGGTCATGCAGGATTTTGTCCATCAACCGTACTACTCGCGGTTCCGACTCCCATAGGCCCTGAGACGATTTAGGGTTTGGGGGTTTAGGGGTTTAGGGGTTGTTACGGTTGTTAGGGTTTAGGGGTTTAGGTTTAGGGGTTCTTAGGGTTTAGGGTTTAGGGGTTCTTAGGGTTCAGGGTTTAGGGGTACTAATGCATCATCATACGTTCGTTGGGGGGTCGAAGTCGATACCCAACAAGATCATGGGCGGCGGGATAAAGAGTAGACAGTACATATAGTCTCCATGGTAGCTCCTTTTTGGTTTAACCATTGATATACTTGGATCTTATAAGGTAACCCCAAAAAGGAACTACAATGGAGAATATAGGTCGGTCTCCAAATTTAGGAACTACTGGTTGAACTACTACTTCGTTCTGTGAAAGTCTGCCGCTGAAAAGCTATTGGAGATCCTTGATTTGGATTCCTACGAGAGTGGCCTACTCCTTCGAACCTCCGGAAAGTGATCCCAACTCAGCAAACGAACCTTATAGAATATGAGGCTTGATATAGTGACACGAAAAAATATCTGAAAATTGTAGCCCGTAAACCCTAAACCCTTAAATAATGTGTTGCGAAGATTGTGGACTGGGGTTTGCCACGAGAAATTTACAGCAAACTCCACTGGCCCTACCGTAACTCTCAAAACCTACCTTTGTAAGGACCTACTACAAGGAAATTTTAACGAGGAACCTTCCCAATGTCCTTGCTTCTGGTAGGCCGAGGGTTTAAGATTTGCTGGTTTCTCCTGGATAACAAGACCATGCCAGAATTAGCTCCATAGCTGCAAGTTAAAGCAACTAGCACAAAACCCAACAAGCGTAATATAGCGGTCTGAACACGTAGTGATAGCGAGAATGTGCCTTTAGGGACATATGCCCTTATAGAAACACCTAGACCCACTGAAACACTATGAAACACAATAATAGGACACTTACAAAAGCCAAACACCGGCAAAGGCGGCCTGAGTCGTTGAAGGGGCCCCGGTGGTGACGGCCGGAGTCGTTGCCCTTTCGTGCTGCAGGCCTGCTGTTCAGGTGTGTAATATAGGGGCGTCGGCGTCGTTGCCCTTTCGTGCTGCAGGCCTGCTGTTCAGGCGTGTGATATAATATAGGGGCGTCAAAAATGTGGAATAGGGTTTCTGTAAGGGAATATCACGGTTCCATAAGAGAGGGACCTCTATGGTATAGCGGTGACAAGAAGGAAGTCCCGGGAACAGTATTCGTAGCTGTTTCGGCTTCTATGCTTGGCTTCGGTGTTGGGGTGTTCAGGGTTTGCAGACGGGTTCCAGTATGGCTTTCGCTATTAAGTTCAACTTTGTTACAGGCCTCGTAAACAGGGGCACCAAGGACCGAATGAGAACATACGGTTGATGATATAACTCCGGCATTGCCCGTTCTAATAAGGAATCTACCAGAATTCCCCTAGTTTCTGGTCCTTAAGGTAATGCAGGTTTTATCTCATCAACAGTAGTTTAGCTTGTGATAGTAGTATCCAGAGAGTCCCAGGGTCGTAGCATCCAAATAGTAGAGTTTTAAGTGCCAAAACCCATTCAGAATATGTTTCGGGATATACGCCTTGAGAATTTGGTTGCAGATGTTCGGGTGACGTGGGGTTTTCGCTGACCTCCTACTACTACTACTACTACTACTACTACTACTACTCCTACTCCTACTGCTACTGCAACTGCTACTGCTACTGCTACTGCTACTGCTACTGCTACTGCTACTGCTACCGCTACCGCTACTGCTACTGCTCCTACTACTACTAGTACTACTACTACTACTACTACTACTACTACTACTACTGCTACTGTCCTCGCTCCAAGTATCAAAAGGTACTGTGGACCTGTAGTGTTTAATCCTAAATACCTGACGATATCATTCCGTATATAGGGCTCCTTCTTATCATACAACGATGTAATAAACACCCTCCATTAAATAGAAGAGCCCCTATATCTTCGAACCCATCTCGTTTTCTTAGAACCTCTCTGAAGTTGTGTAGCATTCAAGAAATCTAAACCCTAAACCCTAAACCCTTTACCCTAAACCGCTTGGGCCTTGGATTGCTTAGCCAACTCGTCTCTTGCTGGGCTCAGCACACAAACCTGGACCACATTATATAAGGCATTGGGGCTAGACTTCGAGCTCTTTTAGATACCTATGTAGCCCACTTTTGGCGAAGACCCTGGCCGGCTTCAGAGACCCTAAACCCTACACCCTAGGAGCGCTGTCTTTTTCGTGCCGGAGCCCATATCTGACTTTAAACTCGTTAGGCCTACAACTCCCAAGCCGTAGACCTCGAACCCGATGTCACACGGGTGGTTGTCAAAATTATGGTCCCTTTTTGGGGTCCTTATTATAATACGGCACCTAATATTTAGGGTACCCCAAAAGGGACTTTGACAACTACCCACATCGAATACCGATCCCTGCACTTATGTAGTTTAGGGTTTAAAGATGAGGCCGTTTTCGATGTTTCCAGCTTGAAGTTTCCAAAGTCCAAAACTACCCTAAACCCTAAACCCTAAACCCTAAACCCTAATCCAAAGTCCAAAGCTATAGGCTAAGTGCCGGAGAGCTGCATCATAGGATACCCCGCCAGCATCCAGCCCAGAACTATCTGAACACCTGCACGACAGTATATCCCCAAAGTAAGCCCTAGATTGATTCTCTCAGTCTACGTAAGAGAACGCCTCATGAGAAACACACACACACAATAAAAACACAACAACACAGAAACACAACAAAAACAAAATCCGCGAGCGCGCCTTCGCCAGGACATTGAAACTCCGTGCCAGCGCTCTGCATCAACAGCTGCCAAGCAGAGATGTTGGCAGTCCTGGGCTTCGGAGGTTCCGGTTCTTTGTTCTGGGTTTAGGGTCTATAGGGTGTAGGGATTCTGGGTTTAGGGTTTAGGGTGTAGGGTGTAGGGGTTCTGGGTTTAGGGTTTAGGGTGTAGGGGTTCTGGGTTTGGGGTTGAGGGTGTAGGGGTTCTGGGTTCTGGGTGTAGGGTTTCGGGTGTAGGGGTTTTGTGTTTTGGGTTCTGGGTGTAGGGTTTCGGGTGTAGGGGTTTTGTGTTTTGGGTTCAGGGTGTAGGGGCTTTGGGTTTTGGGTTTTGGGTGTAGGGGTTCTGGGTTTGGGGTTTGGGGTGTAGGGGTTATGGGTTTTGGGTGTAGGGTTTCGGGTGTAGAGGTTTTGTGTTGTGGGTTTAGGGTGTAGGGGCTTTGGGTTTTGGGTTTAGGGTGTAGGCATTTTGGGTTTTGGGTTTAGGGTGTAGGGGTTTTGGGTTTTGGGCGTAGAGGTTCTGGGTTTAGGGTGTAGGGGTGTGGGTTAAGGGTTTCGGGTGTAGGGCTCATGTGTTTAGGGTGTTAGGGTGTAGGGGTTCTTGGTTTAGGGTTTGGGTGTAGGGCGGTTTAGGGTCTAAGGTGGTGCTTCCTGGAGCCTATTTTGGTTGCCTGGCGGGGGGCGGCTTTTTTGTTTCTCTCTCTCTCTCTCTCTTGTTTCTTTATTTAATTATGGTTATCTTCTTGTCTTCGTCAAAAAATGGTAGGTTATTCGGGGATAGCGTCCTTGGCATTGGAAATTTTTTGGTTTGGGGTCTGTTGCCACGGTTCTGGGTACAGTAGGCGCTTGAATTTAGCAGTTAAGGGTTCAGGGCCAGGGTTTCGCGGTGTAGGGTTTAGGGTGTAGGGGTTCTGGGTTTAGAGTTTAGGGTTTAGCGGTTGAGGGCTTAGGGTGCAGGGGTTCCGGGTTTAGGGTGTGGGGGTTTAGGGTCGCCGAGGGTGAAACGTACACGGCTTATGCTTAACAGCTGAAGCGCAAGAGCTGTCCTAAACTCGCGGATTAAAGTCTAAATGGCCTAAACCTGTCAATCTCCCTGAGGGCTACTGCTATGCAAGAGACCGCAGCTACCCATCATAACCCACCCTGAACCGCCCAAAATCCTAAACCCTAGACAGCATTCCTATGACTGTGAGCAGCCTCACAAAAGTTGTGATGCAACATGGCTTTGCAATACTGGTATCCCGATAGCAACACCGAAGACATGTCTGTGACTTGTACTCATAAGAAAACCCACATACAGTCATCAAAGCCTGTATGTACACCCGACTTCGTATGGCCAAAAAAGGTACGCTAAGTTCTAGATTTCCATGTGAAATTCCCATGCATGCCTGAAACCGGCATACTCTGTCGAGGGCCATCGCTGATGCGGTGGACCTTGTCCGGCGCCCATGTCCACCGCCCATCAAGGCGCAACAGCACCATTGCTGATGCCCAGGCTGTCCGCTGGGATGAGGGGTTGTAAGGGGTTAAAAGTTTCGGGTTTCGGGTTGGCGCGCCTGGAAACACTGAGTGGAGCAAGAACATCAATTCTTCTTGCTCCCGGCGGGCTTGGGCTAGGCAGCCTGCTATGCACGGTGAGAGCAGCCTACTTGGAGGTTGTGGGACTTAATAAGTACAGTTATAAGTACCCTGGTTGGGGTTATAAGCATAGTTACTTTATGTATAACCTTTATTACTAAGTCCCATAAACCTTTAAGTAGGTGTGGCATATACAGACATAGACCTCAACCTCAGCCCTAAGCTCTAAGCATCTAACTCAAACCGTTGAGGCCTCAACCCGAAACCGCACCCTGCTATGTGGGCTCTTGCCCCCTTCAAGGGTACTACAGGGTTCTTTAAGAGGGTCCCCCTTCAAGGGTAACTATAGGGCTCAATCCCAGACCCCCGGAAGGATCTAGAAAGTAGAACCCCTAATTTGGGACCCTAATTACTAAAAGGTTCTGTATAGGAACACTCTTAAGGGATCTACTTTCTAGATTTTTTCGGGGGTCTGGGTCCCTAAACCCTAAACCCCTAAACCCTAAACCCAAACCCCTAAACCCCTAAACCCTAAACCCTAAACCTTAAACCCTAAAACCTTTCCCCTAAACCCTAAACCCTAAACTCCCCTAAAGGGTATCTATAGGGCTCTATAGATTAATCTAAAATCTAAACCTTAAACCCTAAACCCTGAACCTTTCCCCCAAACCCTAAACCCTAAACCCTAAACCCCCTAAATAAGGGTAACTATAGGTCTCTAAACCCTACACCCTAAACCCTCAATAGGGCTCTAAAGTATGGCCCGGGGTATTTTTGCGACCGCGGGGCTGATGCGAACAGCTGGGGCAAGCGAAGTCCTCCTGGATGAAGAGCACGCTGGGCCGGCCTCAGCTTAGGGTTTAGGGCTTAGGGTTTAGGGTTTAGGGTTTAGGGTTTAGGTTTTAGGGTTTAGGATTTAGGTTATAGTTCAAAGCCTTATAGTCTCCATTGTAGATCTTTTGTTTAAGAAGCAACTGCAGCACATTGATGTACAGGAGGTGTAACTGCAGTGATTAGTCAAAATCTAAACGCCTCTGGTGGGTGACAGCTCACACGACATCCACCACCCTAAACCCTAAACCCTAAACGTCTTGCAGGCGCCTCTTGGAGAACAAACCTCTGAGAGCATTCAGATTGGGCCGTGCTCAAGTTAGGGTTTAGGGTTTAGGGTTTAGGGTTTAGGGTGGCCACCAGTGCATCCCTCGGGCCCTTTAGAACTCAATGCGAAGGCAACTGGGCAGTCACCACTCGGGCACAGGACGACTGTACGGCCGGACGGGGTCTTGCCCCAGTGACAGCCAATCCCTCCGTCAGCTCCTCAGCTGAGCGTCAACCCAGACCCCCGGGAGGATCCAAAAAGTAGATCCTTTAAGGGGGGTTCCTATAAAGACCCTGTAGTAGTATAGGGTCCCAAACTAGGGGTTCGACTTTCGATCCTTCCGGGGGTCTGGGAATGGAATCAACCGGTTCGCCATCCTGGTATCGGCGCACGATATTCGCGGCTCCATGCGATGTAACCCCCAAAACTTGCCCTCTGTTGACACTTCAGCGTCCCCCGGGGAGTTTAGATCTGACGGTTCCCATCAGAAACTTGCACCGTGTTCAAGGTCTTGTGGCACCTTATAGGATGCTGAATGCAGACCTTGTCTAACCAAACTACCGTATGATCCTAAATACAGAATTGGCTTAATCAAGCTACCTTCTGATCCCGAATATAGACTTGGTTTCACCAAGCCCAGGAACTAGAGTGGAGACAATAGGTAACTTGGGGTTCACTGAGGCTTGAGTTCAGAAGTCAAGCGCAGATCTGAGCTAGAAGGGAGGCTTAGGGCTCAGGGTTTAGGGTTTAGGGGTCTAGAATGTAAGCTTTAGGCTTCAGGGTTTTGGGGTTCAGGGGCTAAGGGGTTGAGGGTTTCAGTTCAGGGCTGCTGTCGTTTTTACACCTCACCCAAAACGAACCTCTCGACGGCTTACACTGCGACAGCCATATGAGGTTCCAGGGTCTACCTGGAGATCCAAAGCCCCGCCGCTTCAAGCGTTCTACCGCTCTACGTTTGAGGTTAGTTGGAGGTTCATGGGACTGTTATAAGTACCCTAATTGGGGTTATAGGTACAGTAACCTCATTGATAACCCTAATTACTAAGTCCCCTAAACCCTAAACCCTAAACCCTAAACCTCTAAGTACAGGTAGGGTCTAGGAGTCTATCGTGTGGGTTGTAGGGAATGAAGTTGGGGGGCTTCGAAGCTCAACGTGGCTTTCACCCTAGCCTTTCGGGTTAGGGTTTAGGGTTTAGGGTTTAGGGTTGTGGTATGAGGATTCGGCATGCAGTCATGCAGCCCAAAAGCCCCACACGGTTTGGTCTTTGGCCCCCAAACAACCTTAGCCCTGAGCCCTAAACATTAATATGTCGTAGTAAAGCCTAAACCCTAAACCCTAAAAGCCGCAGGACTATGGTCTCTCTCGTGTGAGATCTTCTGAACGACGCTTTGGGGTTTGACTCTTGATGGCTGGGGGCCGAAGGGATACTGTTTCAGGAGTCCGGAAAAGAAGGGGGTTGAGGGTTTAGGGTTTAGAGTGTAGGGTGTAGGATCTGTTAGGGTCTAGGGTTTCGGGATTTTACTAAATTTCGGCTGCATATTGGCGTCACTGCGGTGGTCTTGGTCGCTGCGGTCGTGGTGCTCTATTGCTGCTTTCGGATCTAGGCTGGCATAATGCTTCAAGTAAGTACCCGGTTTAGGGTTTAGGGTTGAGGGTGAAGGGTTTAGGGTCAACAAACACTCTTTACCTGACTCGTCGTCAGACTCAATTTCTCGGCTTTTTCGTCCACAACAGTCTTAAATCCGGTGAAAACAACCATTCCAGCTGTACAGAGTGCATGAACCCCTGTAAAAAGTACGTAGGGGTTGAGGGGTTTAGGGTTTATTAAGAGTCCATGAAAGGAGCCCAGGCACCATTTTGCAAGGCGATCTCCACACAAATCGGCTGCTGTCGCCATGGGCCAAGTGGCTGCCTCGTAGCTCTTTTCGGCTTTGGGGCTTCGAATCCAACCGGGACTGTTTAGGGTTTGAGGTTTAGGGTTTAGGGGTTAGGGTTTGAGTCTTGGGTTGTGCAGGGGACATCGTTAGAGAGGTTCAGACATTCCAATAGGTCGCTACCAACAAGGAAACCTCGTATAGTTTCAAGTTTATAGAGTATTGCTGAAAAAAATGCTTGGGAGTTTCTGGGAGGAGGTTCCTGGTCCTGGCGAAACCCTACATCCTACTGTTGATGCACAAAATTGTGCATGACCCAAATATAGTATAGTACCATAAATCCCATAGTTTAGGTCTACAAGGTCATGCAGGATTTTGTCCATCAGCCTTAGGACCTTCAACACTGAACCCTCCGGGCCCTGGCCCCTAATCCCCCAATCGCCCACACCCCTTATAAAACCCAAGCCCCAGGATCCCAACCTCGACAAACCTACGTAACGTCACCCTGAGCCTTGAAACCCTAAACCCTAAACCCTAAACCCTAAACCCTAAACCCTAAACCGGGGCCTTGAACCCTAACCCTAAGTGTCCAAAAAGACCCAATCGGCACTTGAATCTAGGATAGTAGGTAGGTAACATAGTTTTGGAAGATTATATAATTATTAGGTACTGGGACCCCCTATAAAAATCCCGGTATAGGGTTGCATCGATTCAAACACAAGATAGGTTCCTCCACAACCCTTACAACACTAGTGAAGCAGTTGTCTTGCCTGAGAGGAAAGCCCCTGAGTCGTAAGTCCTATGAGCCCTAAACCCCATAATTCGAAGCCCTAAGCCCAAACCCACACAGTCCGGCGACAGGTGTGCTGTGACCATCACGGCGGACTTCTTCTCCACACCTAAGCTGAAGCTCGTAACCCTAATCCCTAAACCCTATCAAA